TTAGCATCTTTACCAAGCCAGCATAAGCAAATGTGAAAACAAAGTTTTATATACATTTCTAATGGATTATTTCCTACCTTCCTTTTCTAGTATTAGTACTCTTTATAGTGCAACCCTAAGAGTATTTTCCCGAGAGTAAGCCCTATTGAATAGACCCAAGCAAAATAGTTCCTTTTGAGATTGGTCAATATATATGTGCAATTTCTTTATACAGTATTTTTTGGTACAGGTCTATTGGACCCCCCCCCCCAAAAAAAAATGGTATTTTGAAAAAATCCTGGATCCCAAAACCGGCATGGTGTTCGGATCCAGGATTTTTCAGAAATCCCTAATTTTTTCGGGTCCAGCAGACCCAAGAAGAAAAATACCGGATAAAATGTCTCCTCCTGCAGCATGGTTTAAACCATGCTGCAGGAGAAACTGGCTCCAGGATCTGCAATATGATAGGGAGGTCTTTCCCCGCTGCATGCAGATCCTTTTTTTTTTTTAAACTACGGGTCATGCGGAGGGGATACTAATACCCTATCTCTAAATCTAATGGAAACAGGGATTGGAACACTAATACATTGAAACCACTAAAATCTTAACTCTTCATGTTCTAATAGGGAGAGGGGAGGGAGAACTAACATGGTGACACGAACTGGATTACAAAGATATGTAGTTCTGTCACCTAGTATTACAAGATTGTTGTTTTATATAAAAGTTATACACAGAGATAATGTTTGCTTTAGTTAGCTATTTTGCAACAACTGCAATATAAATGATCGTCTTAATTTTAGAATCTTCTTGCGTTTCTTTGATCTTTGGGATTTGGGAGCGGCTTCTCCTTTCTCTGATTCCGACATCTCTGAAGAGTTGAAAGAGTTGGAACTAGTGCTTGATGAATCCTATGAATAGGATTCCCCTTCATCATCTTCTTCCTCCTCATTAGTTTTTGTCTTCTTTTCTTTCTTACTTTGCGTTGGGTTTAAATAGTGGTCCAGAATTTTTTTTGCCTTAGGAACAGAGTCAATCTTAATTCTTTTATCCTCGTATTTAAAACTCAGTCCTTCAGGGAATGCCCATCGGTAGGGTGTTCCCTTTTTTGGTAGAGCAAGAGTGAATTCTTTATAAAGTTTCCTCCGCTTCCTAATTTCAAAGGGAATATCCTTTAAGATTTTTATCTCCTCATTCTTGATTTTCAAGGATTTCCCCTGTGTAGATTTCAGCGCCAGGTCTCTGGTAGATCACTTCATGAATTTCAAACATATTTTTCCCGGGAGTTTATTTTTCTTTATAAAGTCTGGATAAGTTCTGTAAGCCCAGTCCATCTCCATCAGTAGTTCTTCTTGTTTATAATCCATTAATGGTGCAAGAGCTTCTGCTATAAGCTCCTTTAAGTCTTCATTCTTCAGGGATCCCCTGGAAGCGTAGAACATACATGGATCTTTCCAGCTGGAGCTGTATTAGCTGTGTTTTGTCGGATAATCTTTTTTTCTCTGCTTCATCCACTCTTTTGTTAATACTCTCAGTCTGTTTTTCCATTTTTTTAGCATTTTTTCAGTTGCTGAGGTTCTTTTGTCAATTTGAGCCAATTGCTTCTGCACATTGTCTATTTTGCTGTTGAGGTTAGTCATCTGTTCCATTAGGGGGCGCAGTGCATTCGCTAACAGTGTAGATATATCTGCAGTTACTTCCTGGTTCTGGGAGGAATTCGTTGGTTGATTATTTCCGGTCAATGTTTTTTTCTCCAGCGTCGCCCTCCGCCCTCTCCCAGCCATAATATCAACAAGAAGTAAGTTTTCCAAAACAAGATAAAAGTTAAGCGATTTTTAATCAACTTTGTATCTTGCAGCTTTTGAGTTCGCTTAAATTCTTATACACTTGCTTTTGCTTAAAGTCCTTTATTTCCGATTTAAAACTGCTTTGATTTTAGTGTGGGGGGTGTGTCTTGAGTTTCCCCTCAACCCTCGTTTTGCACTTAGGCACTTCTAATCACTACCAAGGTTCTTATAGTCACTTTATTTCGCCTGAGCATTGCTTAACTCATGATTTGCAGCCTTGGAGATCTTTAGAAGCATTTTTAAAAGTTTTGATCGTGTCCGCTTGCCTGGCAGTCGTCTCTGGGCACCATACGGTGACGGTACCTTTTGGAGAAAAGGTGAGCCTCAATTTCTTGGCTGTCGCCTTGGAAGAGGCTCTCCTCAACTCCCCAGGCTGAGGGTCTCCTACAGAGACCCTGGGAGAGTCCGGAACGATCTCGGACTCTTCCTGTCAGCCGAGTCTCGTCACACCCCCATCAGAGCGAGACGGGGAGTGACTGAGCAGCGAAACGCTTAAACCGGAAGCTCTAATGCAGATCCTTGATGGGCTGCCCTCTCCTGCCGCCCAGTTTAAACTGTGTGGTAGGAGAAGGCAGTGCCAATCCCACCTGGGCTGCTGCCCTCTCCTGCCGCCCAGTTTAAACCAGTTGGCAGGAGAAGGCAGCACAGAACCACGCTGGTGGGGAGATCTCAACTCCCCAACGACCCAGCTGATCTTGAGCTGGCTTCACTTGCAGCCCGGTTTAAACTGGACTGCAAGAGAAGCCAGCCACAGCCAATGCAGTAGGGAGTCCTCAGGCTGACTTCTGCAGTCCCTTTAAAGTTTAAAGGGGCTGCATAAGCCTGCCTGACAAGCAGCTAAGAGCTAGGAGCAATCTGCTCCCGTCTCCCAGCTGCTTTCAGATCTACCCCAAATTCCCGAATATATCCAGGATTTTCTTTGGATTTTTGTTGTTGTTTGTTTTCCCATGAAAACCCGGATACATTCAGGAAGCCAAAATACACCCGGGAAATACCAATAAGGTATTTTCTGGGTATATTTTTGGCTCAGGTAGACTCGAATGCACACTCCTGCTGGTCAATCTTGCAATTATTTCATAAGAGACAAATTTTTGGCTGTGTTGATTTTTGTAAGGGTTCTTTTTCCTTTTCAAGTGATCTTATTTGGTTTAGTTGAGAAATGTTACGGAATAAGGAAAAATTATCTGTACTCAGTTATTCTTTTGACCAATAAATAGTGCGTGATTAGGTATACTGGGGAAAAATGAAAGACTGCTTTGTTTCCCAAAAAGATGCTTGTCAACACATGGCACAGCTATAATTAGGGTGTGAATTTTAAAAATCAGATTTCAGTGCAGGTAGCATCAGAGACTGATGGATGATAGATATTTGGGAGGCAAGCTCCAAACTTCTGTGGTGATTTAGTATCCTATACTATGTAGATGAAATATTAAGCTATTATCGTTTGTGGCAGACATACAAATGCATATGAACCTTACAACCTTCAAGCATATACATAACCACCCATACACGCACAACAGACCTGTCAAAGGATCTACCCTGCAACATTCATTCATAGTCTTTGATGTATTTGTTTTACACATGATTTTTCTTTTCCACAAATATGTTTTATAAAATCTGGCATTAGACTATCAAGCTAAATGAAAACTTAACCTATTCATTATATCATTGCTATGTATAGTAGCTGCTACATGACTATAAATATTCCTAAATACCTGTTTCTTCTTTGGGACATGCAATAGTTATTTTAATTTTTTTAAAGGAACACTGGTTTGGACTCATTTAATAGCAATTATATTTTAAGAGGCATAAATAACTTGCAATCCAGACATTACAAATATCCAGGTGCTCTGTATGTGCTGATGACAACAAAATTGAAAAGAAAGGCTGTAATAATTCTGACTGGTTTTCTCTGCAGAAGATATTGATTATTTGTGTGTGGTGAGAGATTTGGAAAATTCAATTAAAGGAGTTGTGCAAAGGTTTCATAAATTTTCCTTGTACAGCGTGTACACAGACACTGTTGCGTATTAAATCAATGCAGCACTTCACAATATATTTTCTTTGAAACATAAAAATAAATAACATTTAAACAGTTCTGCTTACTACAGAAACAAGTTTTATTTTCTGTGAAGCATTTAGTCATGTGCTATCACTGACTCATACACATTTGCCAGCTGTAACAAATTTTATAGACATTTTCTCCAGAGACATAGCTCATGTACTATGAATTTTTAAATGAGCAAATGGTGAAGAGGGGATGTCAGCAATATAAAAATTGATCAGTTAAAAGATAAAAGCATAAGTAAAGAGATTTGTATGGTAGTCTTAATAGGTTTTATTAAATAAAAATACTATAAAAGGACAGTAATGAATAGACTGAAGGTTTTAACTGTGCTTGAGGTAGAGAAAAATTATCCTTGCAGAGTTAGGAGATTGGTTTCATATTACCAAGCAGGTGGTCATTTTTCCCTATCTTATTGTCCAGTATAATTCAGTGTTTTAAAGCATTCAAACTTGTGTGCGTACAGAGTAAACTTTCAACTAGATCATGACCTCAGATTGTGCTACCGGGAGGACATGGGGAGTCTCTCCTACCCCACTCCTGTTCTTTACACCAGACTTGTGCAGCTCCTATATTGTTGGTTAGGACCTGGCAACCCTTTAGACACCACAGCAGTTGATGCCATTTCATTCTGAGCCAGTAGGATAGAACTGGTAGAGAACCCAGTTTCAAATCCATGCAGAGATATGAAGATGTCTGTCTGGCGTTGGGCAAGTACATATCTCTCTGCTTAGGTGATCCTGTTGTGGGGCTGAAATGCATTTTGGAGGATGTGTGGGATACGACTGCAACACAGAGAGGTATGGGATTCAGCCCAAAAACTGCAGTGGAAATGAGAAGTTGGTAAAAATGTGTCCATCCTACACTTACGTGTGAGTTTTTGCTTCATTCATGGAAGAGAATGGTGAGGGGCAAATTATGCTTCCCATAACACATCAGCAGTGTTTCTTAAGGTTTCCAGCCTTCAGGAGTGTTTTTCAAAGTGCATAGTGGGTTACAGTGGGAAAGGAGAAGCAGAAAGGGTCCCTTCTCTGTTTGTGATGCTTAGGGTCCAGCTGTATTTTCACTGTTTTCCTTGTTACATGTAAAAAATGTGAAAATTTCTTTGACAGGATGTCATCGACCTGTTAACAGCTTTGAATTCCTTAAATCCCTCATTGAATAAGGTGAGGAGGTTTTTGTCTTTTAATGGAGAAGTGTAAATCCTGTAATTTAAAAGTGCTATTAGAAATCCTGCATTTACTGGAAACTCCTAGAGGGTATTAGAGCATTAACAACAACTTTTTTATTTTTAGTGCTTCTTGATAGCTCAAAAAGATAACTTATAGTTTTCACACATTCACTTTATTTTTTTATAGAATTCACTCTAACAGAAGAGCACTAAAAATTAATAATAATTAATATTTTCTCTTCACACTGATACAGCTTAATCCCCAAAACTGAAGCAGAGTCAAGATGTTTCTAACGTAATAGCTTCCAAAAGGAATTAGTTTATCCATGCATAAGCTTATCTGTCAATATAATTCTATATGCATCTTGTACGCATGAAACACGTGAATCTTTGTAAGAAATTTGTGTATTCATGTATACACATAAGTATTTGTTGGAATGTAAACACATGAAATGTTGTTTGAGAAAGCTAAGTCCACAGGTATTCCAGTTACTTTTTTTCAGCAAAGGAAATTCTAGCCACCTTGAGAGCCACAGAGAATCAAAACCCTTATAAACCCATTGGCTTCAGTGGCTTTAGAATGGTGTAACTGTGCTTAGGAGGATAGCAGTGTTTAAAACAGGATTACTTGCAATCACAATTAAATTGTCTTGTTCAAAGCAACTATTGCTTTTGTACTTCTGCAAACTCATACTCTTTTTTAATTAATATAGGTGCTGAATTGCCGACTAAGATAAGAAAATTACATGAATTACATTTTTCTCTTGGACAACTGAGATTGCCAAAGTCCTTCAGCCTTATCTCAAAGCATGTAGATTCTACCAATGATAGCTGATTAGTATTGCACCTTCTTCCAAGGCCTGCCTGTTTCCTGCCTAATCCATGGGCTGAATGTGATGGAATGCTGTCTGTGCACATACAGTATAGGCAGAACTGCATAAAGTCTTACTCTCCCTTCTACTCCTATTGGACAGTGGGTTAGCAAAGATTGCATGTCCTTTGAATATTCATAAATCCTCACACTTCTAGATTCTATTCCAGTGTTACATCTAAGGTATTGACCTAAAAGTGTGGGTGGAATGTGATGGGCATCATGATTGCCTTGCCATTTTTAGACTATGGTTGTTTGGGGGTAAGGATTGGTAGGGTATTTGCCCCCACAGCGGGAATAACAACACTCTTCTGTGTACTACTCTCCAGACGAGCATGTCGGAGCAACTCTCGCGCTTCCCTAGTCCTTGGCCAGCCCGTGGATACTCCCTGAGGTCTGGGTATTCCCCGGTGATGCGATCGTCCACCGTCGCCTCCCGGTGCCGCCCGCTCTTCGCTGCCTGCCAGTGCCAGGCAACCTCCTCCGACCCCCGAGCCAGCTATTGCTGCTGTCGCCATGACTGCCTCCCGGGCAAAGGCTGTTTGGCCCCGGCAGCACAGCAGCACCCCGGCCTCGGACTACTCCAGACGAGCACGAGGCTGAAACTGAACAAGGGGGTGGGCGCGGAGCCGAGCCTAGCCAGGCCGACTCCAACCCCCCCCCCCGACGTCCCAGCTCGCTGTGCTGGGGACTCTGTCCCGTCCCACCTTCCTCGCGGCGGCAAACCAGCCCCCGGCCCCCATTGCCTTCGGCGGCGGCCGGGAGCTCCCATCTCAAGATAAACATACTTAAGTCATCTTGCTGCAGAAAACTATTCCATAGCATGATTTTTAATACAACTCTACACTTTCTGCAGCATAATGAAGAAGTCCCAGTTCTTGCCTAGTAGGCAAACATTGTTCATTGAGTCTGTCAAATATGTCAGCCAAGTACCCCCAAGTAAAGCCAGAAAAGGTTTGTCATGGAAGTGACAAGTCCATCAAAATATATGGCTGAGTTTGCAGGCTTTTTCAGCTTCTTATTGCACTCGTTATAAGATCTGCAGTTTTCACAATATAACAAGACCTTAATATTGTTCCTCTGGATTTGTAGCTAGTACCTAGAATTTCCAAATGCAGTATTTTTGCAATGTTGCATCATAGTGGCTTTAGTTCCAAACATTGTCATTCTTGCTCTGTATTAACTGAACTAGTAGCTTTGAATGTTCTTTGGTCTTCTTGTCAAGCAGTGTTAAAATAAGAATCCCTGCTTGATCTCAGGTAAGCCAGCATAAAAAATTGTTAATTTTGCAGTACTGATTCCATCGGTACAGACATCTGTTTGCAGTGTATAAAAAGAACTTGGTTCCATTGCATCAACTGTGTAACAACTACCATACTCGCAACTCCGCAACAAATGCTGGAATCTGAAAGCAGGAAAAGACTTAGCTGTTTTGCATGTTATTGATGCTGTTATTTTTGCTACTGCAATACAAGCATTTTTGCTAAGAGATAGTTGAAGCCACTTTGTCTTCCTATAATGTATAAGGCCTTGTGACACTTTAAAATATTTAGCAAATTAATTGAACTTCCTTTTTAATTTGATATTTATTTTGAAGGCAGAATGTCTTTTCCAAATGGGGGTTTAATTAGTTTGTTAATTAGATTATGTTGCATGTCATTACAAGAAAGAAACACTGATTTTTCCTTCAGACAAAGATCTGGCTGATTATTTCAAATAGGATGTGTGAGGTCATTCCTCTCTGATTGATGCCTCTTTGCCTTTGTTCCTATGAACCACTTCTTCTCCCAAAACATCTAAAACTAAGTTGTGCTTATGTGTAGAGTCCCCCCACCCCTATACTACATGCAAACTGGTTCCTGGTTCCTTTTGATGCTCATTAGCGTATACAGCACAGTAGGATGTGCATGTCAGATAACCAAACTGAAGTCTCAAAACACAGTTGGTACAAATTCTTTTACAGTACCATCTTCAACAGAGTTATACCCTCTCCAGTCCATTGAGGCTAATGGGCTTAGAAGAGTTTTTAATACTGGTTGGTAGTTTCTGCTTCACTGGCTACTGTAAAATTTGAAGTCCGCATAAAGTACTAGTCACATGTGAGAAGTTGTTAGTTAAAAGTTTATTTGGGTATGCAAGTTATAATCTCTACTGTCCAATAATACAACAGAGTGCATCTCCACTTAGAAAAAAAATCACCTCCAGCTCTTCCAAATCAGTTTTAAAAACAGATAATTTTAACTGTAGGACAAATCTGTACCTGAAGATACCAGATGTATTTTATGGCTGAATCTTTCTAATTGGTTCTTAGGAGTTGCCGCTAGTCAGCTATTCCTAAACTAATTCATTATACAATTTTGAATTTCCTTTCTTGATTATCAAGCTCATTCAGGTCCTTTCCTACTGTAAAATTGTGAACTAAAATAAAACTGGAATTTTTAACATCTGCTATGTTGCCATACTTTAAAGAAAGTGTAATATCTCTTTCTAGATGCAAGGTGAATACGTAATAGGACTGTAGTTATGAACAATGTGTGAAATGGAAACTGTGTATAATTGTTGTTGAATTGTTTTTAACCAACCCAGGCCTTAACTGAAGAATAACTCACCCTGGTGTAAGATTCTGCAACTGCCCAATCCTACTTAAAAGGCTGAAAAGAAACACTGTAAATCTATCTCCCCACAAATACCAGCTAAGGATTCCTCAGTGGACTAGGCAGGTGCACATCTAGATACAGTTTCTTGCATCTAATTTAAACTTTACAATCTGCAGAACCAGATAATCTCAATGTAAATAGTATACTCATCCATATCTCTCTTATGCAAATGCAAGTCAAATTACTTCTGTGTAGCTAGAAAGCCCAGTTCTTGCACTATCTTGGAAAATGCATCAATGAGCTTTGTCTCATACTTGGAAAGAAGAGCTCCTCTTAGAGATGGGCACTATTTCCCAGGCCTTCAAACAAACTGAAAATTTCACAGTAATTATATGCATCAGGTTCCCTCTGAAGGCATGCCAGTTTTACTGCAAACAATGAAGATTGCTTGCCAATTTGTGGGGCATTGTTTATGCATCTTATCAACACTCGGCAACACAAGTAGCTCTTTGGCCAGCGCCATTTGCTTTATAGCAAATGGAGCATTTCCAATGTCCTTTTTAGTTACTACTATCCTTTCACTTAAGAAAATATCATAGAAGTCTCATTTCCCAGTGCTAGAAAATTTAAAATTTCCAACTTGGCAGTCCTGTGCAAATTTACTTGGAAGTGTCATTAAATATAGTGGGTCTTACTTCTGAGTAGACCTGCCTAGAACTGTGTTGTTTTAAAATGCACCACTAAAAAAATTAACTTTTGTGTGCTGTAATAATTATAGACGTGAGCTAGTGAAACTACTTACAGTGTATACTGAGAGCTATTCATTCAGAATAATTGTGGGATAATTTTAAACGTTCCCTTTAAATGGGTTTTGTAAGCAGGCATGCATGGGAGTGGAGTCCAAGTGGTGACTTCACCTGGAAGTGTGACTTGGACTCCATTCCCGCACAGCGCCTGCTTGCAAAACCCATGTAAAGGGAATGCTTGGAAGCGGGGGAAGTGAGAGAGATCACTGAAATGGCTTACATTTATTTTAGCCTGCAAGGCATTTCAGCTATCCCTCCCGCTCCCCCCTGCTCCCCCCCCCATGAACCTTCCGAAGACCACGTAGAGGGTCGTAGATAGGGATTGTTAGCCAAATTGCTCTCAAAGAGAAACAATTGGAACAGTTTATCGGGATTCACCGTCTATGGTTTATGGAGGATGCTGCTGTTTCTGAGGTTTCCAATAAGAGACTGAGGCAGACTTCTTAATAATAATAATTGTTTACTAACACACTTCACACAATAAGCACACAACAACCACAACACACAAGAACTAGGAAATACAGAGAGAATAATTCAGCACAGTTGCAATTTGCAGGTAACGTTGGTTGATGCTTTGGGGTAAGAAAGCTGGATTGAAGGGTAAAGCAGGTTAAATAGAGGGTGTAGTTTGAGAGCACTGGGGGGTTTCAGGTAGAATGCTCAAGAGCAGGAACGTAAGAGAGCGAGCTGTGGGTGCGTTTTTGATTATATCAAAAGGGTCTAGAGGAGGAGCTGGGCCCAGAGGACCTCCCCTGTGATGCTGTGTTCTGTCATAGCCAAAGGGTCTGGGATTGGCTACTGTATTTCTCTGGGAGGGCCTGGAAACTGGAGGGCAGTTTGAGATCTAGTGACTAACTCAATCAAGACACCTGGGCTAGGGGTATTCGTATGTAGATGGATGACTCATGTCCATGCAGCCAGGTTGAATAGGGTCTTTGTGAGTACATGCTGTCTGTTGGTGCGAGGGGGAGGGGGGTTTCAGGTATGTGACCATGTGGCTGGTTTGAAATGGAGTCTGCTGCTTTTTGTGACCATGTGCTTGGAACAAAATGGCGTTTGCTGGACATGGGAACACCTCAGGAATAGCAACCATAAGAGGAAACAGTGTCTCTGGTATGTATCCTTATTGGGCGCTCACATCATGTCAGTTTCAGGCATAGTCTGTCGTTGGCACACTTCATCAGGTACAGCAATGGCACACTTCATCAGGTACAGTAACTCAGTTCATAAAAACACCATAGCAGGCGTGTGGGCTTACAGGATGGGCACAAACCTCAGTTTACAAACCACAAACCAGGCCAAATTCATGATGAATTTAGATTCGTGGTTCAGTTCATGCCCATCCCTAGTTGTAATACTGGGAGACTTCAACTAACCTCACCTCAGCTATTTGAAAAAGTGCATGCACACGAAAGCTCATACCTTGAATAAAACTTTGTTGGTCTTAAAGGTGCCACTGGACTCTAAATTTGTTCTACTGCTTCAGACCAACACAGCTGAGCACCTGGACCTATCCTCACCATTGATTGTGTAAACATGTGCTTGAGTCATGCTGTAGGAGATTCCTAGACATCATAAATAACTGCACTGGAACAGTTGGTCACAGAGCCAACCAGAGAGGTAGTGATCTTGGACTTAGTTCTGAGTGGGGCTTGAGACCTGGTGCTAGATGTATGTGCTGTTGCACCAATTGGGATCAGTGATTTTATTTATTTATTTATTTTTCCAATTTATACCCTGCCCTCCCCACCAAGGCAGGCTATTAAATACAGCATTTGTGACAATGGACAGTTACCCCCAAAGTCCAAAACAATAATATTTGATTCCAGAAGAGGGAACTTTACAAAAATTAGGGTGACTAGTTATAAGGAAGCTGAAAGGAAAATACAAGAGAATCCAATCCCTACAGGATTTTTAGAAGCTATTTAAAATCACTCTAATTGAAACCCAGTTAGAATAGAGAGCCCTGTGTCCCTGGAATTTTAACAACGGAGCCAGTGCCAATCGCTGCTATGATATCTGAAGGAGATCTGAGAGCTGATCATCTGGAGAGAGAACTGAGTATGGCAGCCATCGCCAAAGCAACAACAAGAACCACCAAGGACAATAATACTAGCACTTTATGTAATTGGTTGTAGTATTGTTTTAAGTGTGTTAATAGTTTTTATTGTAATTTATGCATTGTTTTATGTAAGCCACCCTGAGCCAGCTTCGGCTGGAAGGGCGGGGTAGAAATCTGATAAAATAAATAAATCATTCATTCATTCACTCATTCCTCAAATTAGGAAAGGTACTGTCATGTCTAAAAGGATCCCTGTGTGGTTAAGGACCCAAGTCAAGAAAGCCATAAAAAAGCAAAAACTCTTGTTTTAAAAAGTGCCCCAATGAAATAACCACTGAGTCTGGCAAAAGTATAAGTTAATAATCAGGCATGTGAAAAGAGAATTTAAGGAGAAGATTTCTAAAAGCATCAAGACAAACGATGAGCATTTCTTTAAATATAATCCAGAGCAGGAAACCAGCCCGAGAAGCAATCTGGCCTTTGTATAACCAAGGAAGAAAAGAATTGCTAAAGGGAGATGACACAGAAGCTCAATGAATTCTTTGTATCTGTGTTCCCTGTGGAAAGTGTGGGGCCTGTACCAAGGCCACAGCC